CTTCCTTCCTTCCTTCCTTCCTTCCTTCCTTCCTTCCTTCCTTCCTTCCTTTCTTCCTTTCTTTCACTCTTAATGTATTTAGTCCAAGGTGTCTCTACACAGATCAGACTTATAGTGATCAGGCCGTTAACATTGCCCTCCACCCAACTTACAAGGAAATTTTTTTTCCCGTATGGCTTTGTACTGGTCATTTATTTATTAGTTCATTCACTCTGTTGTCTGCTCCTTTGTTTTGGTGCTAAAACAAGGCTGTGCTCCCAGCCTCGCTCGCTCTTCATGAACTTAGACCCTTTTTTTTCTGTCTTCGTTACTTTTTATTGTATGTCTCCTCTCCTAAATCAAAAAATATAACATTTAACAAAGTTTTTATAATGATATTCTTGTAATGAAATTAATTTTTAAATATGTGATCATATGTTTTTAATCATTTAGAATTTGTGTGTAAGGCACTACATATCAATTAATACCACACTTCAGTAAATCACTTTGATCTTGTGAATTTTAAGAATCAAAAGAATGTGTATATCCTTTAACTGAGAAAAGCTACTTATCTTGAAAACATGTATTTCTCAAGAAAAAAAAGTAATTTATTTTATAGCACTATTCATAATAGCTATCACTAACCAAAATTTGCAGTGACAAGGTAACAGCTGGTTAAACAAATGAAGATATAAACAGGTAAAAAATAATGTAGTAATAGCATTATCAAAGATTGTGAAACTGGTGGAAAAGAGATAGAAATGAAAAGGTAGAAACATTTTCTCAAGATACATAAATGTGTGGACAAAATCTACAGCGTTTGTGAACATGAAGGTAGTTGTTACAGTTTTCCCTCTTTGTTTTCTCAGCTCCCTACACTGTTACACTGATAGATAATGAAAAGGGTTTTGTTTAATTCAATGTTTTGGGTTAATAAGTAACCAATCTGTGTGCAAAGCTGAACAAAAATTTTCATGTAAATTTATTTACAAGCTATTATGAGTTTTTCCTTCAAAACATTGTCAAGATTGTGAGTTAACCCATATTATTTTGGGTGCTTTTGGCTTTAAACAGGTACCACTCAGTGGCCTAGACCTGGAGGGCAGGCTCCTTCATCCCCAAGCTATGAAAATTCGCTCCACTCCTTGGTAAGAGCTTTTTGCCGGTCTTTTACAGGCTTACAGAATTTTATCTGTATATCATTTGTAGTTTTATTTTTTGTTGTTTTTTTTTTTTTTTTTTTTTAAGTAAATCTTGGATAATAGTGAAGAAACAGTAGGCTGGCTTTACACACAAATTCTTTGCTAACAAATGGCCTGACTTAGCTGAACAATGTAAAACACACTGGGTGTGCCTTTTCCCATCTGTTCTTGGGGGCATCAGACAGTTCTGATGTCAGAACAGCTGTCATTTCTTTCAGAAATCTTGGGCTTACTTTTTCTATACTTTCATGTTTATAAGGGAGGGTTTTTTTTAAAGATAAATCATATGAGAGTATATATACAGTTTATTTTTACACTTACATTAAAATTTTCCATGAAAATCAATCATTTTTGTCATGGAAATGTTATTCCCTGTGTGTTTTAATACCCAGTACTGTGTTGTGTAAATCAGACAAGGAAAAACTTTCCTACCAGACAAATAAGTGAATAAAGGAACCTTCTAGGTACTGGAGGGTGAAGAATTTGTGGTAGAATGTTAACTACTGTTGCTTTTATGTGCTTAAATTTGTAACCCACGGTTATAAAGTATAATGAAAACAAAATAAAAATGATCTAATGGAATGCTTAAATTGTACTGTCATTTAATAAGTACAGTTTGCAAATAGAATTTTTTCTGTAACATTTAAAATTCAGGAAGTTTTCTTCTCATGTATTTTTGTGAGCAACTATAAGAATGTGCTTATGTAGATGCTAACCTGGTTAACTTCCCTGTTAAATCCCAGCCTTTTCGTACCCTAATGCACGTAGGTCTCTCGGGTCTCCATGTTAACTTACTAACATGGCATGCCGACATGCACGTCAGCTATTTTCTCATCTCTTGTGGAGTTAATCTTAACCTGTGCTTTGCCTCCTGTTCTGTCTTGACTTTGCCAGAAAAATCGAGTTGAGCAGCAACTTCACGAGCATTTGCAAGATGCAATGTCCTTCTTAAAGGATGTCTGTGAGGTACTATTTCTTTTAGATGGTGCCTTTGTGTGTGTTTCAATTACATGTCCTTCCATTACCTATTTAAAATCTGTACGGACTCCAGAGTCTTGAAGTCAAAGGTCTGACTGTTAACGTTTTCTTAACAATATGTAAGAATTATCTTCTGTCTCTTATGTTAAGAATGATTTTTTAAAAGAATTCTACTGGCATGTGCTTTTGATTTTTAAAATTCTAATGTTTGTGTATGGGGCATGTGTATTTGTATATCCACAGACAAAAAATGTCATTTCTCTTTACTTTCCGTTAAAGAGAATTATCTGGATATGTATACCAGTAAAGATGGGTATTTTTTATTCACCTAAAATACTACAACCTAAATCAATGGATTTGAAGACCCTTCCCCAAATTGACAACTTTCTAATTAAAGTCCAGTTTATTCTTTTTATTGACTATGATTATTGACATAGTAGCATTCATCTTTTGTAGAAGCTAAAAGAAATAACCTCATAGTAGATTGATAAATTTGTCTTACAAAAGTAGTAATTTGTTTCTGAACCTACAAGTAGCCTTTCTTTCGTTTTTTTTTTTTTGTTTGTTTGTTTGTTTGTTTGTTGTTGTCAATATGTAGTGCAGGTAGTTGGTTTTGAAGCTGCTTGATATTCTGTTTTACTTGCAGTCATTCATATATTCCAAAGTAGGAAACATGGCAACTGGATAAATTGGGTATTACCAGTGACCTCCATGTTTGTTTCAATCCTTACAGCAGTCTCGCATGGAGGATCGTCTGGACCGGCTGGATGATGCTATCCACGTGTTGCGGAACCATGCTGTGGGACCTTCCACCAGTTTACCTGCTGGTCACAGTGATATTCACAGTTTATTGGGACCATCCCATAATGCACCAATTGGAAGCCTCAGTTCAAACTACGGAGGATCAAGCCTAGTTACAAACAATCGATCAGCTTCCATGGTAAAGTAGCCCTCGTCTTCCTCATAATAACCTCAAGACTGGGCCGGGGAGATAGCTCAGTGGAATAGGCGCTTGCCTGGCAAGTGCAGGGTCCTGAGTTCAATCCCTGGTACCACAAAAAATAAATAAGTAAAATTTCAACACTGCTGCCCTGAGTGTTTACATGAAAGCTTTGGGGCAGAGTCTGTTCAAAAAGAAGATAACGAGAGACGTTTAAGTCCCTTTACTGTTTGGGGCAGAGTTACTGGTGGAGTAGTGACCCGTAAAATCTGTGACTGTGTATAAGAAGAAGAAACTTCCTACAGGCATCACTTTGCATAAATGTGGATTTTATGTTTCCAAATGTGTAAACATTAGCATACAGTTATGCCTTGAAATAGCGGGCAGGCAGTTTGAATTACAATGCAGTACAACAGGCTGAATTTCAAGGATTCTGTTGTAGGAAAATTGTTTACCATGCGTTATAATCTAGCTCCACTAGCAGAAAAAAAAAGTGAAACCTTAATATGTACAAGTCCAAATTTAAACTTTATCCAAATGAAATAAAAATGGGAGTAGTTTTAAGAACAGCTATAATTGAAGGAACAATGTAAGGAAACAGTTTTAGATTAATCTCACAAGAGAATAAAATAATTTAATCCATCTTTTAAAGAATGTGAGAAGGGCCAACCAGATAGCTCAGCAGATGAAAGCGCACCTTCTTAAGCAGACTCAGAGACCGGGGTTCCATCCCCGTCATGCCATGCTGGCCCCACCCCCCAGGGCAAGCTGAGCTGGCAGTTGAGACTGGGCATGGTGGCGCACACCTGTAATCTCAGCGTGTGGGAGGCCGAAAACCGGAGCATCACTACAAGTCCAATCTGTGTAGTGAGACCCTGTAAACCCTGCACTAATTACATTGGAAAAAAGTGATCATTCTTGGGGGTCAAATAAGCCTCTACAGCCCATATACAGCAGAAGTTCTGTTCTGAGTGTCTAACATTATTTTCAATCCAGGTTTTCTTTTAAAGAAATGAAATTCTTTTTGAACCTACTATCTAATTAGTACCATGTGTTTCCATGTTTGTGGCATAGTTCTTAACACTCACTGCCTCCTGAGAAATACTCTGTTAAACAGATTTCTAGCTGTAAGCCATGTGATCAAGGCGCAAAGTCACCTACCATCGAAATAATTAGCTGTGCCAAATGCTGAAGATCTGTGTTCTCTAGAACAGGATCGGTTCCAGATTTCTAGTGTTTTGGCTACCCTGAAGTAAACATCAAACAAGGCTGCCTTGCTGGTGGGACCAGTGTTTTCCACAGAGCAGGAATAGCATATTCGCACATGTCTTCACAGCAAGGTGGTTTTGGGGTGTTTTACTGTCAGGAAAATGTGAAATCTAGAGTCCTTTTTTTTTTTTTAAATGTTTGAAATTTATTTAATTATTTAAATACTTCTTTTTTTTTATTTGTGTGTGTGTGTGTGTGTGTGTGTGTGCTAATTTACACTTAAATTAGCTTTTAGTGTATTTAATAAACCCTTAGTTGTAAAAATCTTTATGAATTATTAAGCTCATTGACATATGAGGGAGGCTACTAATAGTAACACTAAAGTAATTTAAATGGTATTATAAAATCATTAAGATGGAATTTTGCAGATAGGAATCTAGAACTAATAATATGTTGACATACTGTTTATCCTTATTTAGAAGAATTACTTAAAAATCAATATACTTGAATGCCATATTGGGCTCAGCTGCAACATTTGAATTTCTTTTTCGGGGGGAGGTTTAAGAGAATTTTAATACAAAAGTCATTTCTTATAGTGATTTGAAAAAGTACAAGAACCTGTGAACAAAGTTTAGTACTTTAAGATTTACTTTTGTAAGAGCATGTTGATGAATATTAAATGTTTTATCTGCATTTAAACATTAAAAATACAAAACACAAAAATCCAGTGTTAATACTGACCTTCCATGCCTAACTGGGATTTAGATATTAATTTATATTTTATAGAAAGAAACAAACTTTAAATGATTTCAATGAATATACTATCATTCTTTTTTTTTTTTTTTTTTTTTTTTTTTGCAGAACCAGGGATTGAACTCAGATCCTTGCGTTTGCCAGTCAAGCGCTTATCCTACTGAGTCATCTCCCCAGCCCCCACTATCATTCTTTACTAAAACCATCACTGAAATTTAGAAAGTTGTTAAGAGTAATTATTTCTTTTCTTGAATATTCGATAATATGCCATTTTGAATTAACCTTCAAAATTTCAAAGCATGAATGATACATGAATACAGTACCCAAAAATATGTTTTAGCATAGGTTAATTTTGTTTACAATTATGACAGATACCTTTAAGATAGTAAAAGATGAATCAGAAAACCCTACACAAATATTAAAGGTATCTTGGGTCAAATTATTTCTTAGTACAAATAATATACCATACCATGTCCATCAATTTCTCAGTCAGATTCACAAAAGCTTTTTAAAAATTACAGTTCATAATTGTTAAACTATGCATTTATGTGGTAGAAGATATAAGAAAACTTACAGTATTTTTTTATTTTTTAATCGTAATTTTTCTGTTAGTAACTTAATGTTTTTATTCCAACTTACCTGCTGTAATGTTTGATGCCTGTCTCCCCCCAGCTAAATGTGGAATTCATATAAAATGAAACTTGCGTCTGTGGAAGTTGATTGAATGTGTCTTAATTAAGAAAAAAGATTTTTCAAAATGTCCTCCAAAGTCATGCAGAAAGCTGGTACATTCCAAAAGAACTAGTGGGGGGAGACTTTTGGGTATTTTAGTTTGGTTTGGTATATGAGGATTGAGCCCAAGGCTACCACTAAGCGGGATTCCCAGCTTTGTCTTTTATTTTTGAGACAGTGTCTCACTGAACTGCCTAAGTTGGTCTCAGATGTGCCATGCACCTGCTCCAGCCTCCCAAGTGCTGAGATTACAGGTGTGCAACACCACATGCAGCTTGAGAGAGTGACTGTGTCGTTAGATCTTGTCCTGAAACTTTTAATTAAAAAAGTTCCTAGTGCATCATCTGCACATGTCCCAGCATACTTCAGAAAATCAACCAGAGAACTGCTACAGGTAGCCTTTTTTTTATCCAGAAACATATCTTCATTTTGTCTGTTTATTTTTTTTATTTTATTGGTACATTTTAGATATACATACTGATGACATTCATCACAGGTAGACAGTCTTCAAAAAAGAAAAAATCTCCGAAGTAGTGTACAAAAGGGATCTAGTGAAGTGTTGGATGGTTCTGGCATAGTTGGAGCAGCCTCAAGGCCACAGAAAATAAACCAGAGCTGTTGCTCCACGAATCCGTCCAGATTCAGTGCTATTTTCCATTCTTACATCCTTCTGAGAGGCACGCACCTGTTAAAACTTTGCCAGACATCATCTGCTGCCTCCAAGGCTTACTCTCTAGTACTTCTCAGCGGTGAAGAGCCTATATTTCTGCCAAGTTTATACTCAAAATAGAAAGTATCTAGCTGACAAAATCTGACACTGTCAGGTGAGTCAATGTTAATCTCCCATCTGTCAACATTGCAGCTGAATTTCATCTTGATTTCCAAAAAAAAAAGACCAAAAGATAGAACAAAGTGAATAACAGGATCTGTTGGTGACTTTAAGCTGAGGGGGACCTGTTGCTGGTGACTCTGGTACCCTAACTCCAGGCTGAGTTGGCCATAATGTTAGGTGCTTTTTTGGGGAGGACTCTGGTGTCTGGGGGCTCTTTTGGCCTGGTGTTTTTTGGGTGGTAGTGAAGCCCCTTGCTCATGTTCTCAGTACCCACCTGTATGGAATCAGCGTTCATAATCTTGACAGGTGTGTGATTTTGGTACCAACAGTGGCTCTTGGCTTGCAATGCAAAATATCAGTCCTTAAGACTATATTATAAAATCTGCATGCTGTTATTGAGAACTCCTCTCTAGTTTGGTTTGGTTTGGTTTGGTTCGATTCGGTTCGGTTCGGTTATGGTTCGGTTTGTGGTGGTATAGTTGTACCTGTTAGGTATGAACCCATGCAATCAACCAGACCAGACATTCTGACACGAGTAGATTTATTGGGGGCGTTAGGCAGGCCGGCTATCTAGCGGACCAAGACAGAAGTAAATAAAGGGGGGAGAGGAGACATTATAGGATGTTTTAGGGAGGGTGATGGAGGCTGGAACAGCCAGGTCGCAGGTGGACATCATTGTCTTACTTGTGGTTCAATTTTGTTTACGTCAAAAGGAAACAAGCTGAGACCAGTGTGGGTCAAGGGGAGGTGAGCCGAGACCAGAGTACAATGTGAGGCAGCTTTGGGATTGGGGTTGGTGTAGGTTACCTAGGAAACCAAGGGAGGGAATGTTGGGGGCAAGGTGTCCGGGAAACTTTGAGTTCTGCCCTGTCGGTACCCAGGACTGTACCTGGGTTATGACAGAATTAGGCCTTTAAAGTTACCTGTGTTTGGGCCAGTGAGATAGCTCAGCAGACTAAACACCTGCTTAGGCAAGCACAGAGACCAGGGTTCCATCCCCAGCACCACATGCCACACTGGCCCCGCCCCCAGACATGCTGAACAAGCCACTGAGTCTGGGCATAGTGGTGCACACCTATAATCCCAGCTCGGGAGGCTGAAAACAGGAGGATTACTGAGTCCGAGCTGCCTAGTGAGACCCTGTACCAAAAAAATAAGTTAACTGTGCTTAATAGTATTGATTTGTAAGAGATTCATCTTATTGTCTTACAAATGAAATGATTGGCTAGTATTTTTTAAATGTTCTAGAAAGAGACTTACATTTTATACAAAGTGCTATCACCAGAAGTATTTTAAGAGGTCAGTATTAAAAACTTAATGTTTGCTATTGTTTATTTTAACAAGACATGCTTAGCTACAGTAACATTAGAGTTTAGAATTTAATAAAGTTGCAGTCATAGACCTTTCACATATTTTAGCTAGTGAATATAGAGATTAAATTCAAAACTAATTAAGACAGAAAAGGAACCCACTC